CGGCTGGCGGGCCCCGCGCGGACGTGGACGCGGAAGTGGGTGGCGGGGCCGGGCCCAGCCGCCCCCGCCCGGCCCGACCCGCGGCCCCTTGTTACCGGCCCTCGGAGGAGCCCGACGACGGTGCCGGCGGCCATGTCGCGGGGCGGCGGGAAGGGACCGAGCCTGAAGGACAAACTGGACGGCAACGAGCTGGACTTGAGCCTCTGCGACCTCAACGAGGTGCCGGTCCGGGAGCTGGTGAGCGTCCGGCCCGCGGGCCGCCCGGCGGGGCCGGGGCCGGGGCCGCGGCCCCGGGGCCGGCTCTGCCAGCTCGGTCCTTGGGAAGGGGGGTGCGCAGGGGAGCCAGGTGTGCTGGAGGTGTTTGTGACCTGGCCTGCGGGTGTTTAAAACGGCGGAGGGGAGGGTGTATGAGCCGCTGCTCACAGCTCTCGGGATCCCTGCTGCCTTTAGAGCCAGAAACCGATCAAGATATGACGCCGCTGCTCACATCTATCTGGGGATCTGTACTGCCTTTAGACCCAGAGAGCAGTCAAGATACGACGTGACCTCGGAGGCAGTGGCGGGGGGGGGTGGACAGACTGACGCGGGAGAAACCGCAGAGACTTGAGGCAAAGCTAGCAGGTGTCAGGAGGGTACGAGTGTACCCCGGTGTTGATTTAGTGCTTTTTTCTCTTTCAGGCCGCTCTTCCAAAAGCTACTATATTGGATTTGTCCTGTAACAACCTCATTTCCTTGCCGGTAAGGTGCTAGAGAGCCTTTGTGGGGATGAGTCTGCTGGGAAGTATTTAGAAAAGATAACTAGTGCTTCAGTAAAGGTTCATCGGGAGGTTTGGAACTGGCACTTTCCTCCTCCTGGGGTGGCTGAATGACTCTGCTGTCAGTGATGGGTCGGTACTGGTGGTAGTTTTGGCTGAGGCAGGAGAGAGAAGAGGCTTGCACTGCCTGGAGATCACAGTATCTCCCTGCCAGAGGATCCCCCCGTGAACACAGACCAGTTTCAGCAACAGTGGAGACTCGGGGTTGTTTCTGTTGTATTGCCACACATCACCTTGTCAGTCTTGTCTGTCTTATCCATCCCATTGTTTTCCACCCCCATCTTCCGAGGCAAAGGAGGAGAGTGATTTTTCCTCCACCACAGTTCTGGGGTAAGTTAAGGATTTGTGTCTTTATGTAAGGTGCAGGCTATCTCCACGTACTCCCCGCTGAGGTTCCTCCATAAAGGTGCTGACAAGCTTTTCCTGGGTTTTGTTTATGTTTGGGTTTTAGTCAGACTTCTGCAGTTTGATGCATCTGGTGAAACTGGATTTGAGTAAAAATCGGCTTCAACAGCTGCCCTTGGACTTTGGCCGCCTGGTCAATCTGCAGCACCTGGACCTTCTGAACAACCGTTTAGTCACCCTGCCAGTCAGCTTTGCACAGCTCAAGGTAAAACTGTTTGCTGGGCAGTTACGTAAAGCTTTGGGATGCAGCCCAGGGTCTTGTGATCCTTCTCAAGTTGATTTCTCTGGTAAAGCATCCATCCTGCTGACTACCCATTCCAAAATTCAGCTGGCTCTGCACCACAGCTCAGTGGAAATTCTTTCACATCTATCGAAAACGTCTCTGCTCAAGCTCTCTGCTTGTCTTCCGTACCTGTTTCATTTATGTGGAAACCAAGTAGTTTGCTTCTGCTTTGGATCTCTTAAATAATCACAAGACTACTGTGCTCTTACAGCCTCCCCTTTATCGTTCCTTTCTGCAGAACCTGAAGTGGCTGGATCTGAAGGACAATCCCCTGGATCCCGTCCTGGCTAAAGTAGCAGGGGACTGTCTGGATGAAAAGCAGTGTAAACAGGCTGCTGTCAAGGTAAGGAATCTGCTTTTATTCTTTTTTTTCCTTACTTGGCTTTGTCAGCAGTGGTTTTTCCCTCTTTTTGCTCAGCAAGCTGGGTGGCTGCTGCAGCAGCGTGAAGTTTCTTCAGCCAGTGAGGTGCAGGTTCACTGCACACTTCCCTGCTTCTGTGCCTGTAGAAAGCAAACACTGGGCTGAGTAGGATTCTCTTCCAGTAATGGAGTTAAGAGAGGACTAAATGCTGATTGCTAAGAAGTGGGGCATAATCAGACAAAATAACCCATGTCTAGGCTTATAGTCCAGAGTACAAAAATCTCTGGAGAAGTTCTGGCAAACTGTAGGCTCATGTAAACAGAAGTGTTCTGTGATCCTCTCTATTGGCTAGCACCAGTTTGCCATGTTTGTATTTTAACGGAAAGATCTGTTTCTTAACTGCAAAGATGCATGCGGGAAGCTGCGAGCTGTCTTTCTCTTCAGAGCCATACCTGTAGGGGTAGGTCAGGGTTGGTGGTCAGCCCCAGCTACGCTCCAGCTGTTCTGTTTTGAACTGACTGTGCAATGAGCCTTCTGCAGAGACCTCAGGGTGTTTTCTTGGACCTTGAAGGTGCTGCAGCACATGAAAGCGATCCAGTCTGAGCAGGATCGACAACGGCAGCGGAAGCTCCAAGCAGAGCGAGGTGAGCACAAAGAGCCCTCACGTGCTGTCGGCTGAGGACTGTTCTTGATCTCTCTTACACGCCCAGACATACTGATTGCCATCTAACAAATTGCCATCTAACAAATACTTGTAACTATCAAAATCCTGGGGGCTCAGGGAGTAGTAGGGTAGAAGGGCTGGAGGAAGAAAGATAGTGGGGGATAACTATGCAATTTGTTGCCTGAATAACAGTTAGATCTCTAGACGGAACATGCTGTAGGTTACCTATAAAAAATATGAAAGAACAGCACAAGATTTATTTTAGGGGAAGCCTAATACTGAGGGAGCAAAGTGCAAGGTGTGTAATATTTAAAAGAAAAGAAAAGAAAAAAAAAAAAGGTGGTTATTGGATTGGTTTCCTCATTCCAATTGGGAACAGATTGGCAGGTAATAAGAAAGAAGGCAATGACAACCCTTTACATAAAAGGAAAAAACTTCCTATTAATCCCCAGAAATGGAGAAGAAGCGTGAAGCAGAACAACGAGCAAAGGAGGCTCAAGAGAGGGAACTGAGGAAGCGAGAGAAGGCAGAAGAAAAGGAGCGCAGAAGGCGGGAGTATGATGCTCAGAAAGCTGCAAAACAGGAGATGGAAAAGAAAACTAAAAAAGAAACAGTGCAGGCCCGAAGTAAGTAGCATCCATTTTGGGTGGGATTGCATCGGATTTCATCTTCATCACATTTCGATGCTGCCAGATTTGCTTTTATGCAGCCCAGGTACTGGGAGATGGTGGGAGTGGGGAGGGAACTGGTAAGACTTTTAATAAGCTCTACTGCTGTGCCCTTTTCCCCTTTGTCTCTGTTCCTGATGAACTGCTGAGCTACAAGATTCGGAAAGTTCTTCGACTGTTCCTAAGGAGAACTTCCCTCCACTCATTTCTTTTTAAGTGTACTGAACTATATGTGCAAAACCAGATCTTGTGCAACACAGAGGTGCTTTATACCCTCTTCACTGCTGCCCATGAAACTAAATCTGAAACTTTTCATCCTGAACAGTTAGATCCTGCGCATCTACTGATTAATCAGAGTTAAGTGATGAAAATTCACAACAAAAGACAACTGCAGCACAGGCTAACATACATTACCTGAACAGCTTGTTTCTGAATGTAGACTGTTAAAGATATTTCATTAATTCCTCGCCTTCTCTGTCTTGTGAATGTTCTCGTTACAGAGCCCGCCTCCAGTTCTCGTCCCCCTCAGCCACCCCGGCACAAGCACTCCTGGTCGCGGTCGGTGCTGCGGGTCCTGCTCTTCGTGCTGCTGTGCGTCCTCTGTACTTTGGCCGCCTGCAAGCTGACAGAGCTGCAACACCAACCTCTGTGCGTCAGCGTGAACACTCTCTACGAGGACGTGTTAGCCGCTCTGCAAAACCACAAAACCCTGCAAAATATGCTACAACAGAACTCGCAGCAGTGATTGTCCTGGATGGGCACTTGCTTCGTCAGCATCTCCCTCCACCATCTATGCAGCCAGAATTCCTATGGAATTGTGTTCTGATGAAACTGCTTTTAATCAGGCAGCATTGGTTTGCTGGTCCACTCCACACAGAGCAGTTATTGTTCAGATCATCTTTGCTGTGCATGTTTCGCAGTTGGCCTGTAACTCCCATTATTTGCCCACTTTACCTTAAAGTTGTTAACACCTCTTACCTCCAAGGGCTGTTTACCTAGATTGTGAGACACAGAAAGCTGCCAATCTATAGGAGTGGGAAAAACCGGCCCTTGCCTAGCTATAGCTCTGTCCTGGAGGTAGAAGGTTTTTAATACATATCCATTCCTTGCTGTCATTTCTATTTGTGCTGAAATTGGTGATATGGCTGTATGGGAATAATACATTAAGGCCCACTCCAGGACCAATTACAAGTGTGTAGGATGGCTGCGCATCCATATGTTGGAGCGAAGAAGCTGATGTACTATTGAAAGGAGCTGAAAATTTTCAATACAACAGTTTTCGCAGCAATTTGTCTGAACTGGATGTTTATATTGCTAATGCAGTTTTAATTTTAATTAGGTCCTTTAGAAACAGCCAAAAATGATTACTGAGGACACTTAATTTTAACCAGCTACTGCCAACAAAGCGGCGACAGCTTAGAAAGGGCTTCTGGCCAGTCTGCAGGCTGGTTTTGTGTGCGCAACAAGAGGAGGGTGTCCGAAACCCACGGACAGACAGCGGGCGAGTTGGCTGCCAGTTGCCACCTGCAGCAGTGGCACACAGCACTGGGTGGCACTGTGGCAGCGTCACGCGCTGAAGGTGGGTGGGCAGGCAGAAGAGGGCTTCGCCTTGGGGCTCTTGGGAAGGCTGGGAGGTTTGGAGGCTTGCACCTAGAGAAGAAAACTCGCCTGTACAAAGGACTATGAATTATTTATAATTTCCTTACAGAGAAAACCAAACAGAAGTTTGTCACATCCTGAAGGGCTTTGCAAGTACTAAAATGAAGTGTACACGTAATGCTGTTAGGTGCAGGTTGCAGAGAATATCCATACACTACCAACTCCACTAAGACATCCTACATTAGCCACCAGAATCGCTCCCTCTCTTCTAATACCAGGGATGATTGCTGATAGGAGCAGTGCCACGAGGAAATAATGTATAGCATTTCATGCCGAGGTCATCACTGAAGCAGTAAGCCTTCCCACTTCTGTAACCTAATGATAAGACTGTGGTTCCCCACATACCACACAGAAAAAAGTGACAGCATGAATATCAGATAAAAGGAAGGAAAGGCTGCCTATCTCTGGCTTAGCAGTACATGTGTTTCCCGAGCTTCCTTGAAACAGCTTTAGGCTTTGCTTTTGGTATCTAACTCATCACATTCTTTAAAAGGTCCTTGCTTACTATCCAGAAACGTTCAGAGAAACAGCAAACAACATTCAAAGCAACATTTCCTCTCTGCAGACATTCCTGCCAGTGTCTGGCAGGAGTCTGCTACTTTGCCATCTAGGAGAGTGCTGCTTAAGTTTGCAAATGCCAGGCTAATAAGATTTATCAATTCAGGTCAGAAGCGCGCCACTGGCCAGGCGAGGACTCCTGCTGAATGCCTGAAGCTAGCGTAGCGGGCAGGTATTTTTTCATTCGAGGCAGCACGGTTCCAAAGGGTAACTTCCACACACTGGATGCAGTTTAATTCACTCTCGGCACACATCTCGGGAAGCGCTGCTGTCGCTTGCGTGCACACAAGTGCTCATGGCTTCGTGGACAGGCAAACATGTTCCCCAATCTAATTAAAAGAAAGCTTTTTCTGCCAACTGTTTAGACCTCATAATTCCAGTGCATGTAATCAGATTTCAAGACCCTCTGTAGATTAAGCCGTCTGGAGACTGAATCAGGGCAGTCTAAATTTATATCTGAAAATTAGTCTTACTCATTCCCATCTGCCACAGCGGAAAACTGAGTGTCTATTTTGTGAGGTAAAGTTCTTCCACCTCACTAGAGCAGGTGCTGGGTGCTGGGGGGGGCAGCACCATGTTGCTTTAGCATTAGGATTTTTCACACTGGAGAGAGAACTACCTGCAGTTTAGGATAGCAGTAGAAAGTATTCCTTTCAACAGATCACATATCTGTCTGTATTCAAGACGGCTTGTTAAGAAGCAAAGATTATTATTATTCAAAAATATTTATTTTCTAGGAAGACAAATAAAAGCAACTATCAGTACTATAAGCCATGTCCAACTTATGCTCTTAGGGAAGATGTTCACTATCTTTCTTGTGTAAACTCCAGCCACTCAGCAATTTTATCCAACCTCCTGCTACAATAAAGTCTAAATGTCTTTTAAGTCTTTAAGCTAGGATCAGTGACTGTATTTGGTATCTAAGCACTTCTTTCCAGAAGGAAGCTGAATACCTAGACCAGGCAAACAGTAAAATCCTCATTCCCTGGGGCTACCGAGTGGAATCCAAATAGAGATCAGGATTGTGGGAAGTCATCTGCAGATAGATTCGTCGGGAGAGTTCTGGTCCGATCCGCCGGGAGGTGGCTGTTGCACCATCACCGTGGCACACGGGGATATTAGCCAGCATGTTTTCCTGCTCCTGCTCTGAGGAGCATCTGTTATAGGCCTAAAAGCAACACAAAGGAACAGTATCATCCGTTTGCATCCATTGCTCAAAAAACATAATCAAAGCTATGCACCTGTGACTGCTCTACCCTTTCACAATGTACGCTCATTTTTCACCTGGTCTCTTCTCAGATCTCGTTTGTGAGCTTACAGGCTGATGCAGAACCAATACTGCTCCCTCAGTACTCTGCTCTGTAAAGCCAAAGCAATGGGTGCCAGGGAATTGGTTCCTTCATTGCCTCACTAAACAGCTCATACAGAATCATTGTGTCAAATTTAATACCAGTTAAATGATTTCTTCCACTCCTTACATTAGCTGGCTGGCTGGACACAGTACTCGGCATTCCCGAGGCATCCTCACCTGGTTCAGAAGCTGAGGAGAAGGGTAGGCAGACACAATAGCCTCAGCCATCTTGAGGCTAACACGGTTAAATTGTTGTATCTGCCTCTTCCAAACTTCCAAGAGACCCTTCCCGGAAGGATCCACCTTCACCCCTCTGCACCACCCCTTCTCTAAGTAGAAGGAGAACCCTGTCTTCTCTCGCTCTCGCCTAGGGAGAACAAAGGATGGGAAAGAAAATGAGACAATGAGGCTATGAAGAAAATCCTATCACTGCATCTGTTGTCACATAGCCAGAGAGAGAAGACAGAGAGCCATTTCTCACTTTGTGCTGTTATAGACACCATTGGTATCAAAGTAGATGCTAAAAATTTGACCCTATTTTCTTTACATGCATTACCAATTCCCTTGTTTAAGACCCAGATTTCCTACTGAAAAAGAAACAATCCTGTACTCAGGAGCAATCCTGACACAAGCCAATGCGCATACAAAGTGGTAAACAAGAATTCACTTTCTGACTGTCAACCATAATAAAACACTTTTATATGTCATTTTTAACGACATCTCATCTCGTCTCATGGCTGAGATGTAAAATACAGCATCTGCTGTGATAGGAATGCTAGGACTGTGTGAGACTGCACACGATGGTTTTCTTAGCTATTGCTAACACACTGCTGTCCTTCCTTATCAACGGAAGCAGCTAAACGGTTCACCCTCCGTAACGTCTCTCTTGGTTACATACTGAAGAAGAAAAGCTGGTGCTGTAAGAGCCCAATCCTCCTTGCATTCCCTTCCCACTCCTAAAATCAGACTGAGAACAAGACCTTTGCTTGATGTTAAGTGAAACTCCAACGTGAAATCAGGGTCTGTCCTCACCCCTCCCCAGGCAGGACCTCAGTTTCCAAGAACTAACCCTGCGTTGAAGGAGCTGCACTAGCAGCTGCTCTGTGTCGCCGGTCCCTTTAAAAACCATTATACTGGGTTGTACTGAAGTGCAGCCGCGTACCTGCTATTCCCTCCCAGAAACTGTGACAGTGCAGCCTCTCCAAAGAAGGTATGACCAAACCTCATCTGCTTACTCACTTGAATGGTGCTTCAGCTACAGCTTTTGTGAACATAGTGGCAAATTCTCCGAGGTCCTCCCAGCTCTCAAAAAAGCTGACTTGGACTTGTTTGCACAGCTGCAGATCCACCAAGGCCTGTAAACATCATTGGAAACAACAAATGCAACAATTAATCTTGGCACATCAAATCCCACTCTTGTCTGAAACAAAAAAGGGTCACAACATCTTGCTATAGGACAAGAACATCCACCCTCTCCCCATTTTGGGAACAGTTAATTTAAGGCACTTAAGTATTTAGGGGCAGCCTGTCTCCTGCCTGTTAATACCAGTTTAGCACCATTTCAGCTCCCACAGCTCTCAGTGGCAGACTCTCATTACAGGTGGGTCACCCAGCCCAGGGCAGCACTGATGTGCTTTGCCAGCAGGCCACAGAGGGTGAGAGATGCTGACTGAGACTGACATCAGAATCAAGGTGAACAAGACATGTCAGTCCATGGGAGAGGAGGTGTGTACACGAGCAGTGGGGAACTGAACCCCAAGAGCTCTGTCCACAGACACACAGACTAACGAAGGCTGAATCCCCCCATCCAAGAAAGTGTATGATTGCATCAAATGTTCAAACAATGGCAGACAACAAGAGATGATGGCTGCATGCCTGTTTTAAAGCTACTCACTTCTTCCATGTCCATTCTAGTTATCTCCAGGCCTGAATCCTTAACTTGCTTTTTTCTCCATTTTCTCTGTTCCTCTTCTTGTTTTCTACTCACTGCTGCCTGTCGCAGTCTCTTTTTTGGCTGAACTCTGAGAGACCTAAGAAGAGTAATGTAAGACTGGGAGTTCATGCTCTTCCCCAGGTATTTCCCATTGGTCACTGTGGTGACAGGCTGGATGGACCTTTGCTTCTGTTTCTCTATAACAAATAGTGGAGCAGTTCTGGGTGGGAATTCTTCTTATGCTCCAGTCATTGCTAGAAGGAATTAATGTAAACACCTATGGCATTTTTCAAGGCCAGAGACAACACGAAATATTTGGAGGGAAAAAAGTTTAACCTGAAGTAATTTTCTACTCCAACTGCTGCCAGTGCCAGAATTTTCCCAGGGATTTTCTCCATTACGTGAGCTACATAGGTCTGTAGGGTCTCCTTTTCTCCTTCTGTACGGCCCTGCGCTTCCTGCAAAGATCAACGGAAAAAAAGAGTTAAACCATTCTGAGGCACACATGCAAGTGCAGCAAGCTATGGCTCTGATTCTGCAGCTGGGTCTGCAGATGAAAAAGTCTGTCCAGGGGCAAGCAGGCAACACTTGTTCTGGTACAAAGTTACAGCAGAAAGGAATAAAAAATAATCCCACTTGGTCTGACAATGTTACCTCTTCAAAAATCTGTGAAAAATTGTAACTAGGAAAGAAAGCTTGTCAGAACTTTGTATTACACAGCCCTAGTGGTTTTGATCCATTAATGGCTTCTAAAACCAGGTTTCTGGTTTACTGAAACGATGGCTCCATCCCACATCAAAACCTTCCTGCTGTGAAGAGGGATGACAAACACCACAGCAAGGCATGTTTGAGAGCACAAAAGTCATAAGCACTCTTACTTGTTTGTAGTTGTGAACCATGGACAAAAACTCCTCCAAGCGAAGCAGAACCAGGACATTTGGTTCTTCTGCCCATTCATCTCCTTCTTCCATCTGTCCAGATATGAAAACAAACAGCCAGACCAAGAGTCTGTTTATAATTCACTCAAACCAGTGCTCCCACTCAGACTTCTGAGGCAGGGAGAAGATTAGAGGGTGTTTACTTGGGTTGCTAAATACAATTACTAATGAGTGCAAATAACAGAGGAAGAAAAGGATAAGAACATTGAGATTTTGCTCACACACCTGAGATGACACAGTCTTTCTCCTCCAGGTGATGCTGCAGGGAACAGCCTGATTCTCAACCACACAGGAGTAATTTGCAGCCTGCAAAGCACTAAGGATCTGTCCACCACCTTCTACCTGTAAGAGAACTGAAATTGGTGCATGGGTCAGGCCTCCACAGAGAGGAGACAACAGCCATTATAAGGCAGATGCAGGCTGTGAGGACAAGCACCTGGATCTAGCACCACTGTTATGTATTTCTGGCACTCCCCGGGTCGCTGAGCTTTCAGCATCTTGGCAAGGGCTCTCTTCCTCTCTTTTTCCTGCTCCTGCTGCCTCCTCCGTGCTTCTCGCTCCTTCCTCCTCTGCCACACAGCCTGGCAGATTACCTCCTTCTCCTTCTGACTGTATTTTGGCTTCTTGGGAGAGGCGGATGTTTCTGGGCTTGCTCCGCTTACCAGGGGCCTACGAGGGTGGTCTGCAGAGTCAGACTGAGAGGCTGGCAGCGGGCACAAGGAGGGCCACTCAGCACCACGCGTGCCATTTTGGCTGCCACAAGACACATCTCCAGTCGACACCAGGGCTTCCTTCGGCCCTCTGCTGCCAGGTGCCAACAGGTCACCCCTAGCACGAAGGCCAGCATCCCCACCGCCCGGCTGAGGGGGCTTAGAAACCGCCTCCCTCTTTGCTTTCATCCTCCTCTTCATCCTCTCAGACAGAGGGACGACCTCCTCCACCTCCTCCTCCTCATCTTCGCTCCCACTGCTCAGCACCACAACCGCCCCTGCCTCCCTATCTGGCTTGGGAGCAGAAGATGAGGACAGCCGGTGACCCAACTTGCCGGGGGGCCGCGCCGACGGCGAGTGCTGCAACAGGAAGGCTAAAGGAGGCAGCTCCTCCTTATCGCTCTCCTCAGACCTCGGCTCGCTCTCTGCCATCTCGCATTCCCCTGAGGTAAAGCCCCCGGGCGCCTGAGGGAAGAGCGGGACGGGCGCCTGGCTGAGGGGAAGCTCGCGCTCGCGGTGGTTGGTCCAAAGGCGCGCGCGGCTGGCGGCGGTTGGCCCGAACGCGCGCGCGCGTTCGGGCCAACCGCCGCCAGCCGCGCGCGCTCCGCCCCTCCCACCGGATGAGGAAGAGGCGTTAGGGAAAATGGCGGCGGTGAGGCGGCTGTGTGAGTGAAGGGTTATCGTCATCTCCAGCTTCACCTTCTGCGTGGGGGTCCGGCCGTAGGGTGGGAGGCTGAGCTCGGGAGGGGGTGCCCCGGGGAAGGTCCCTGCCGGTAGTTCGGGGTCGAGGTGTTCGCCTTTACCTCAGGCCGCGGCTCGGGGTAGGGACCTCTAGGGATAGGGACTGCATAACCTCTCTGTGCTGCTGCTTGGTTGCCCTCATAGTGAAAAAAACCTCATCTTTGGAAAAACAGTATTCGTGTGCGATAGGTAGAGACTAAACAGCGAGGGGTGCTGCTCTCTCCTTGCGCAGTGCAATAGTCGGGAGGCTTTAAAAATACCCTTTTTTTTTTTTTTTTAATCTAGTAGTTACAGGCAGAAATATCCTCACGGCTTCTTTGGTGGGACGTCAGAATTGTGAAGTTTTCCCACTGATTTCCAGCGTGACTTCAGTCAATTACAAACTCTGTCTCAGTCTGGATAATCACTTTTCCCTGCATGTCTGATGCTTTGAGGGTTTTTTGTTGTTGTTAGCAAGCTGCTTTCATGCAACACAAAATGTAGCCCTGGAATCACCCCGTTGGAGTTTTTTTTATAAAAGTTAATTGGACTATAACATTGTAGAATTTGCATAAATGAAACTGTAACTATTGTTCATCTTTGCCTACCTCCCTGTAGTTTGTCAAGTCTCAGAGCCTTTCTTTTACTTAATGGGTAAGCTCCTGAAATTAATGGCTCTTTGTAGAGCAATTACACTTTTCCCAACAATATTTCCAGCTCACTGAGTATCTATGGTAATTTAATTAAGATTAAATTAATCCAGTGGTTTTACTCAGGTTAAGGAAATGAGAATGTTATGATAACCACTCTTCTGTACTAACCTGCTGCTTAAGAGGCTAAATAGAGGGATTCAGAAAAATTGGATTTGCCTGCTAACTGCATGGAAGGAGCTATTGAAGAGCTTTTTAAGAACTAATTATAGCTCAGTCATTTTTAACAGAGAGAAGTTCATGAGAGGGTCAGCTTTCTTGATAAGAAAACGTGTGTGTTTTCTGTCAGTGTCTTTTGTTTGCTTAAGGAAGCAGTTTGTGGTATGAATGATATTTTGTGTTCCAGAGAAAATCAGTGTCTGTAACAACTGATTTTATTTTCTCTTTCCCTTGACTTGTCCTGATTATAACACAAGGATTTGCACAAAATGGTTCAATTAGCATGTTCAGGATAGCAATTCTATATATGCTTATATATTGTCCTGAATTGGAGTCTTTTCATTTGTAGGATTTCAATATATTACTGTGTAAGTAAATGCTATTCGATCGAAGGGGAAACTGAAACAGATCACACCTTGTCTTTTTTCAAAGCAATATAAGGCCAATCCACAGCAACCGGTAATGTCTGTACCACGTTTTACAAGGCCTTGCTGAAACAGGAATTTGTGTATGTCCTTTAACATTGTTGCCAAGGGTTTTATTCCTTGCTGGGTGGCAGCAGTACTTGAGATGTGGCCTCTCTGCAGGGGATGGACTTAGGCCATGGTGGTCTAATTATGATTTATCTTTGAAGTAGTTTTTTTCCCTCAGAGCTTGCTTTTGTATTTAGTTTTAAAGCCTGTATTAACTGACATCCTTTACATCTGAAAAAAGAAAGTGTGTGTATTAGTTTTTTTCAGCTGACATTTTTGTTATTCTTGCTCCCAACTTAGTTCTAACTACTCCCCAAACAAGCCTGGTTGCCATCAGATGTGCTTCTAAGAAAACTGGGGGCAGCTCAAAAAACCTAGGTGGCCGCAGCCCTGGGAAGCGCTACGGATACAAAAAAGTAGAAGGTAGGTCTGAGTATCTGCTGAGTCTTCCTTGCGTTTTGTTGGGTTCTTCACAGCTTCTCCCCTGGTATGGGTGTCAGTTGTTGAGCATTTCAGTGGGAGGTGGCCAAGGGCACTCTTCCAAGAGAAAGGAAAGGGGAGGTTCAGTGAAACCTCATGATCAAGGATAGCTGGTGGGAGGGCAGGGTGAGTCAGCCTCCCTCCCAGATGGGCCCGCAAGCAGCCAGCTGAAATTGCCTACAGAAAATGTACTTTGATGCTAACTTTGCCTCTCTGGAGTGCCTGGGAGGAGGGTACGCTGTGGGACACCTAATAACTTAAGTGCACTTTCCCCCCACGCTGTGTTGAAAAGCTGGGCATTTTAGATGTTTACAAGGGGGAGAATTATGAGGATTAGCAGGAGCCAAAGTACAGATTCTTGCAGCTGAGCACTTAATAATTACTAGCTTTGCTGATGAAAACATAGTGATGTAAAAGGTAATAAAACAAATGCCTTCAACAACCAGAAAATGCCTTGTACCCTAGAAGTAACCTTTTCAAAGACTAGAATTGCTTTTTTACCATTGTATATGAATTGCCCTTTATTTCCTGCTAACAGCATTTTTCTTTAGATGCTTTTAGCGTTTGAAGTAATTTTTCCTTAGAAAATTGCCACAGAAAGCTGTGCTTTGTAAGTCCTGGAACCATTTGTGTTCTGCCAGGGCTTTGGGGAGCTCCATTTCCCTGCAATCTGACTCTGTCACTCTATTGCAGGTGCATTTGTGCATGCAGGCAACATTTTAGCTACACAGCGGTTGATACGCTGGCATCCAGGGGCTCACGTAAGTTGTTTTCTATCTCTTCCTTGGTTCTCAGATAACAGCAGCCCACAACAGAGTCACATGCTCAGTGTCTCCTCTCTTTCAAGCTCATTCTTAATGCTCTTCCCTATATTCTATATAATCCTGGAATTGGGTTTCATTACCTGATATTTCTTAGTCACAGAGCCTGCTCAGAGTCACACCTGTGACTCAGGAAAGGTCTGGAAGTTATGGATATCCCAAAACACCTCTGTAACCTGACTGGGTGCTTGTGCTTCAGGGTGGAATGAGTATCTCCTCCCTTGTAAGGAGCACCATTGTATACTGATAGCTGGATGCAAGTAGTGTGGTTTTATTTTAAAATACAAAGCAACAGATGCTGTTGAAGCTAGGATATCAAATGAAGCAGACCAATGATCAGATCTGCTTTAGTGGTGGACCTCCAGCCTTTCCTTTCTAACACTCTTCATCCTTTTCCAGGTGGGGATGGGCCGTAACAAGACACTCTACGCCCTGGAGGATGGGATTGTGAGATACACCAAAGAGGTCTATATACCCCTGCCCCGCAGCAGTGAGAGCAGGGAAGTGATCTGTCATCTACCCAAAGGGGCAATTCTTTATAAAACCTTTATCAATGTTATCCCTACCACAGAAGTAGGAAGCTTTAAACTGGTCACCATGCTCTGAGCCTCCTGTATCACACAGGGTCAGATGGGAAGGAGCGGCTGGGACAGACCACTACAGCTGGACTGGCATCTGAGGTCAAGAATATTCTAGCTCTGAAGATACCAGTTTAGGACTTTGTTTTCTTGCGCCTAAAGCACATGTGGCCAGTGTTCGGGCACTGGAATCACCTGCCAGTATTTGTAAGAGTGTTTAATAAATGCTGTGGGGCCACTAAAGGTCTTGACTGTTCATAGAAAGTGTTACTTATGTTCCTGTAGTATCTGGAGCCACCTTCCTCTGGAGAACCTGTTCTGTTGTGCCACTGGATGAGTTCTCTCTACAATCACTCTGATGTCAGTACTTGTCCCACCAGTAATTCCTTCTATCTATTTTTTACTCATTTTTTAGACATTGTTATATTTGTATCTCAATTCAAAATACTGCAGAACAGATCCTTTTCCACGTGGCACTGAACTCTGCATCCCAGGCAGCTAGATTTTTCCTTCTATCATGTAACTCACCTCTACCTGAAAGCGTTCCATTTACTAGTCACGTGAGGCAAGTTCACATTCGTAAAGCTAACTCATGACTAATGTTAGAGTGCTTCGTAAGATGCACAAGTCTGGGGTGGTATTTGAAGCTCCGTAGCTGGAGGTGTATCATAAAGCCATAATCCAGAAGACTTTTCCTTTTGTCTTCCCTGAGTCATTCTGTGACATTTTCAAGCTTACATCACTCAAAAAGAAGGAGCCCAAATGCCCTGTGGCCAAACTGATCTCATTTTATCTGAAGTTTGTAAACAATTTGAAACATTGGCTCTGCAGTAGAAAACAGGTTATCAAAATTGGTGGTGTGAGGGCACCAGTGTTGACATTATTAGGTTGTCTGCTCTGCAGAAGACAACTAGGTAACCTGGGTCAGGCACACATGTCCACTTTTGCTTTATGCTCTTCATGGAGACCACAAGCTATTTTGTCCTGTCCTTTCCCAGCTTGCATATCCCATCACACGGTTCATCTCGCTGGTCCGTATTTGCATACAGCAGGCAATAAAACCCCTGGAACCTCTCCAAATCTTTATCTGAAGTCCATACAAAATTGCTCTTGGTCACAGAGGACCATTGCTGCAAGAGCACACAGCAATGCTCTGATGTGGATTTGTTCTGCTCACAGCTGAGGATTCCCACCTGATAGCCAATACACCAATAAAGTAAAACATTTTATAACCTAAGAAATAAGTGAAGTAGCACAACACAACCGCTGTCTGAGGTCTGATCCTTGGTACGGCTGGCAGTGCTTGCCTCACAGAGGTATGATACACGCCAGCTGCCTGGAGGAGCTCTGGCTGAGCAGACCTTCACCTTGGCTTTGCCCCTTGTGTAGAAACAAGCAGCTGGTCCATCACCTTTGGTAACAGTACATTTGCCAGAGAAGAGCGAACAGACGTCCCTGGCTGCTCTGCTCAGAGCTCAATACCTGGCAGTGGCTCCGTGGTTGTCCCTGTGCTGCAGGAGGGACATGTCTGCTGGCTGGGTTCTGACTTCTCTATGTCTCTGCTGATTGCGAATCTGGGTGAAGGTCTGATGTTTGGCTGTTCCCTGCGGACGAGAACGATGTCACAGGCACTTTTGTCGCTGACACCAAGGGAGGAAGCAGTACGCTGAGGCCGAGGCCTTACACGGCTGTGTTTCGCTGAGTTTGGTAGCTGAGAGGGGCCTGGAAAGGGTCTGGCACACCACGTCTGTCCAAGGTCTCTGAGCTTATTACTGTTCCTGAGAAAGCTGGGGGATGCCTCAGAGCATGCTCATAGGGAGGCGGCATCTATTGAGGAGAGAGGAAGAGCATTACAGCTGATCAGAAATAACCAGGAGATTATCCCACCTCTTCTTACAGAGCAGATGACAAGGCTCACAACAACCACCAGCCTGAAATTAAATTCCTGCGGTCCTCAGAGCAGCAAAAGCTGCTGGTGAGATGAACACCTGGAAGATGGGTGCTGAGCACCGGTTTGCAACACGGTAGGGCAGCAATCCACTGGATAGGCACATTCCCCCACTCCCCCCTCACAGTGTCTGTGCCAGGTTCCCGCTCTTCCCTGTTCCCTTTCAAGGACTTGTCACTACTTGTCACAAGGCCAGAAAAGACTCGCTATTGTTAAAAGAGGACTGTCATTTGCTTTCCTTTGACCAAAGATCAATTACTGGGATTTATACAAGCACCTACAAACCAGGCTTTCTACCCAGGTTTTGGTAGCGAGTGTCACTGCACAGCAGCAAGAGGAACGTCTGGGATGTTGTTAAGTTTATTTTGGCAGAGCTGGGCTAGCTTTCTCCCCATAACAAGTGGCAGGAGTGACACAGGGATGTTGTGGAAGAGCTCCCGCTGCAGTTACTCAACGACTTGCCTTATTCTCCCATGCCCTTGGTGCTCTGGTTTCAGGGCAGGTACCATTATTTACAGCTCCGAATACCCAGGGGCAAGTGCTGACTACGCCAGACTTCACGGTACAGCTTTAAGACCTCAAAATCCAAGTAAATTGGTGAACCTTTAGTGCTCTACTCAGAGTTTCAAATGTTTCTGTTCTGCTTTAGTTAATGAGGTCTCTTTGTTCAACAGGAGTCTCTTGGGACACTGCCACAGGACCTAGTTGGCAGATGCACTCGCTTTTCTCTGTTCTATTGCAGGAATAAAAAACTTAAATGTCATAACAGGCAAACCTCCTGCTCATAAATAAGCCATAAACACTTCAAGGTAATAGCGATGGGCCTCCCAGAGGTGTCCTGCAGGGAGAAGGGAGCAAGAAACTGTGGAAGCCTCACAGATCTAAAAATAACATTCCCAGCTTGGACTTGTACCAAGCAGATCATCCAAAGGGCCTGCCCTTTCATCAGCAGCTCTGCCCTGCCTCCCAGCACAGGCATTTCTGCAAACGCACCGGGAGAGATCGATCATTAACCAGCACAGATGTACACCAAAGGAGCCTTCTGATAGCCTTTATCTCTGGGAAGGGCACAAAGTGTATCAGAGAAAGGCAATCGCAGTGAACAGTGTCCTTAACTACTGCAAATTGCTGAAGCAAGACCCAGATATGGACCGGAGGGGGGACTGCCCCCAGCCCTCTGCCAGCACCCTTGTGCAGGGAAGGGAGAGCTCACCTCCTGGGAAGACTCTGCCCACAGCCCAAACCTGTCGGCAATCATCTGATGGATTTCCCGCTGGCGATCTTTCTTCCGCACGCTCTCGTAGCTTGGCAAGCGGGGCTGCTCCCAGGAAGGGAGTTGGTAGCTGCTGGGGGGTCCAACGCAGAACAGCTCGTCTCCCTAGAAATGCCCGGCCCAGAGGAGAAAGGTCAGTGTGGTGGTGGCTTTCTTCACTGGAAGTTCATGGCCTGGTGCCACTTCGAATTACTTCAGGGTTCAAAGTTGTGGGTGCCCTTCCTTGAATGCTGAGAGAGGAAATGCTCCCTCCCAGGAGGTAATTACACCATGACCTGCTTTGCAAGATCCCAAGTCCCGAGGGATCTGCCTGGCACTTCATGCCCAAACACCTCAGGGCACCGTGGTGTCCTCTGCAGTATCCCCGCCCCCAGGTTTTTACATACAGGCAGCACTTCCCAAAGTTGCTCCTGCTGTCCAGCACCTTCTCCCTATGCCCCAGGAGCCCACCAGGTCCCCATAACCACAATCTCTTCCCAAAGCCCATCAGGATCTTTGCTACGATTTCCCACCCAGCTCCCATCAGGGACCCAGCCATCACCTGCATGCCAGGGTTCTCAGCAGCGCTCTCCAGCCGTGACGCTCCGCACTGGGGACCCACCAGGCGCTGGCTGCTGCTGAAGTAGGGCGGGGGACAGTCCTGCAACGAGGGGTGAGGGGAGGAGGACATGAGCAAAGCCGAAATCCCTCACATCCCGCCTGGCAGCGAGCAGAGCTCAGCCAGCTCACGGGGCACAGCCTGGGAAGCAGGACTCTGGGCTGGGGCGAGAGCCGCTACCTCTGCCCATTTGGCTCATGTGGCTCTTGCCGCTGGCAGCCAACCTCTGCCTGCCCGTTTACTGACACTGACAGCGCGGGCACATCCTCACCGGGCAGCACAGGGCCCGCTCTAAGGGCCTGAGCCAGCTGGCACCGCTACACAGCGCAGCTGGAAGGATGGCAGCCCGGACCCGGGGCAGGGTTTCATTCAGACTCAGCAGAACCATGTCTCTTTGGGGGACCAAACCCAGCTATTGGGCTAGTGTAGATAAGAGCTCTGTCACGTGCTCAGGGTTACAGAATGTGTAAACTTATCTACCGAGGTAGTCATTTCAGGATAACGTAGCAAGCAAATCTGCAGAGCAATAGCTGCTCTGTTCCTGAGCAGTCTTGCTCCAGTTAAGCTCAATTCTCTGTCAAGGTGTTAAGCAACAGCGAGCAGAGATCCCTCTCAAGGAGAGCAGCCCCTTGAGCCACAGCCAGGACTCAAGCCGTGGGCCATTCCTTGCTCTCAGAAAAGCCCCATCTCTGCCAGCAGAAAACAGCCCAGAGACTTTCAGAGCAACCAGGGATCCACAGGGAGGACTATGAATGACAGATTTACTTTTGCTCTTAACAACGGAGGAACCATTTGTCTCTGCCCTACAGCACAATTACAGAAGCTGCAGGAAACTAGGCTGGCTGGGGGTGCAACTGTTTGTTTTAATGACTGATTAGTAAAACCAGTACGACTATACCTGCTTGAAATCTGCCTCACACCACTACAACTGCTTCACTTTTTCCGATGGAAATACATCCTATATACGTTCCTTTTCCACATATAGTTCTTTGCATCCACATCCATCTGTCCACACAGCCCTTTGCTAAAGGCAAGATGCCTTCTCCTTTAACCACCCACCCGAGAGCCAGGCCCAAGCACAGCAAAGGCTCTGCAGCTCATGGCTCATCCTGCACTGCCTCGGGCGGCAGCTCTGCAGGGCGAGGCGCACAGCACCAGAGCCCTCTCCCCCACGTGTGCCACGGACAGGCATTGGGGAGGAAGAGGGGAAAAGAGCAGAGGCATCAAAGCAGGCAGGGGACACCAGCAGCACAGCCCATTTCTGCTGGGGACTTCCCAGCCTGCACTGGACTATTAGATTTGCCTTTCATGGCACAAGTCTCTCTGTCCCCTGCTAGCCAAGGCTGGACGTCCCCTCTTCTCCCAGGGGCTCTGGAGCAGTACCCGCAGCCATCCCCTCGACAGCCATCCCTGCAGCTTTGGAGGCTGAGCTTTCCCCAGGCAGCCACCACCAGAAAGGCAACGCTGGCTGAGCACCCTGCTCTTTTTCCATCATTAGCTTCCCCACTTAAAAGCCAGCCCCAGGAAATTACAAACGCGAGCAAAAGGGCTTTGTGTCTCTCTGTTCCGCGCCCAGGAGCTGTGCACAAGAAAGCCAGTTGCGGGGGATGCGAGCACTAGCGAGTGGCTTTGTCTGCCATCGCCCAAAGCTTCCAGCCCCCTTCCCCGCTGGGCCCCTTCCCTGTAAAGCGGAGCCCGACCCCACACACGACTGTGCTGGTGGACACCTCTCCTGAGCTGCGTGGGGAGCTGGGGAACCTGCTAGTCTTGGGCCTTGGAGATATTATCCCCAACAGCACAGCCAGGCAGGGTTGAGTGGATGGATCTCTGGGGTAGAGTGGGAACAAGGAGGAAGCAGAGCCTGGCTCTGCTCGGAGCTCCCAGGTCCATCAGTGAAGCCAGCCAGGCTGCAGGAGGGGAACGCAGCGATGCAGCCTCGCAGACCCCAGCACAGAGGAACAAGAGCACAGGGGGGTGGCCGGGCAGGAGGGAGGACACTCACATACTGGCTGGGGGTCTGGAAGAAGCGGCAGGAGCAGAGGAATTGGCAGCACATGGGGTCCCGGTGGTACAGGAGCAGCAGTAGGATGAGGATTGCCACGATGAAGACGGAGGTGGATACCGCTGCCAGGAGAAGGGAAAAGAGGCGAATGAGCCGGTGGCCCTCCTTGCTGCTTCCCCCCTTCACCCTCTGGGTCCCTCGGCAAAGAGCAGCTTGGAAAAGCCCCAGAGAAGCCGGGTCCATCCGCTGCTCGTCCCGAGGACACGGAAAGCCCGGTTGTGCCCAACATCTCTCTCTCCCTATGAGACTAGGAACAAGCCGCAGAGCCAGAGGAGCTCAGCCCCCTCCCGGACCCAAAGCAACCCCCGGGCCCGTCCAGCAGGGACCAGCCCCCGCGGGGACCGGGCCCCCGGCACCCCCCTGCCCTCCCGCCCGGGGCCGGGGCTCTCGGCTCACACTCGGCACCTCGGCAGGGTGCCGGTTCGCCGGCGCTCCGGCTTGCCAGGAACCCGCGGCTCCCACCCAGCCCACGCTCCGCTCCGCGGAGCCCACCCGGTACCGCCGACCGCTCCCGCCGCTCCGCCCAGGTCTCCAGCCCCGGGAGCCAGCGGGACCCCGGAGAAGGACCGGGGGCTGCAGCGACCGCTCCCGCCGAGCCGGGGAGAGTCGTCTCGCCGGCACAGCCTGAGGCCGCTCCGGGAGGCGACGGCAGAGGCTGATCCCGCACGGCGGCGGCGGCG